AAATAAAAAACAACCTACAGAATGAGAAAAAGGAAGAAAATATTTGCAAACTACCTATCCAACAAGGACATAGCTTCCAAAATGTAAAGGAAATCATGCAACTACACAACAAAACAAATAATCCAATTAAGAAACTGGCCATATAAGCATTTCTCTAACAAAGATAGACAGATGGTAAACACGTATATGAAATGGTGTCAAACTCATTAATCATGAGGGAAAGGCAAATCAAAACCACAATGAGCAGGCACCTCACACCAGTTAGGATGGCTACCATCAAAAGACAAGGGCTGGTAACAATGTTGGAAATAGGGAACTACTAGTAGATATATGATGATTCCTGAAAAAATTAAAATTAAAACTACCACATGATCCATCAATCCCACCTACTAGTATATATCTGAAAGATATGAAACCAGTGTGTTGAAGAAATATCTAAACCTAAGCATCTATGGACAGATGAGTACAAACCTGAATGTGGATGAAATCCCATAAAAATTCCATATTTATGGTGTATATGTGTATCTGTATGAACACATATGCACAATGTATATATACATACACACACACACACACACACACATATATACACACACACTCTCTCACACACACACAAACATACACAGAAATATTAGCCTTTAAAAAGAAGGAAATTCTGTCTTTCACAGCAACATGGATAAACCTGGAAGATACTATATAAAGTAACTATACCAGTTCCAGAAAGACAAATATTTCATATCACCTACATGTAGAATAGAGGAAAACTTCACATACTAAAATAGAAAATAGACTAGTGTTTCTACTTGCTTGTGGTTGTGAGTGGGAATGAGGAGACAATGATCAGAGGAAACAAATTTTCAACTGTAAGATGAACAGTTTCTATAGATCTAATGTACTCCCTGATGCCTACAGTTAATAACAATGTATTACATACTGGAAATTTGCTACGAGATCTTAAGTCTTATTACCATACACATACACAAAAGGCTAACTATATGAGGTGATTGATAAGTTAATTAGCTTGATTTGAGGAATTAGTACACAAGGTACACTTACATCAAAATACCATATTGTTCACTCTAAATAAGTAAAAAATATTTGTAAAGTATACCCACAGAAGTTGATACAGATTCTTAAAAAGAAACTATCAGAAATTATATTATAATATATAACTGACCTTAATAGAGGGATGGCTTAGAAAAAAAGAGGAACTGGGGGGAAAAACTGACATACTTTATTGCATTATCATTTATAACTCATTTGAACAAAAATAAAATAAATGAAAGCAAAAGACAAAAAAACACTTGTAATATGATATTTTCTACAAACTATGGTCAAAGGTTAATGTGTTAAAGATATAAAACACTAATACTAACGAGGCAGAGAACATAAACAATAAATTAAAACACCCCCCAAAAAAGAATTTCAAGTAATAACAAATTCTGGTCAAGTTATACTTCAATTAGTAATCTGAGAAATAAGAACAAAAGGGAAAATACTAAGTTTAAGACAAGATTGATAATTAAAAATTACATTAAAATTTAGAATTTATTTTTGTCAAAACACACCATATTAGGAAAAAATGTTAAAATATAATCTGATAAATTGATATCCATCATGTACTAAGAATTAAAACAATAAGAAAAAAAGAGCCACAGAAAATGTGCAAAAGTTTTGAATAATAACTTCATTAAAAGTAGTCCAAATAGTCAATGAGTGTAATACTTTCTGAAAACCACATTGTTCAATAAAAATTAAAAATTTAGGCTTATTCTGTACTAAATACATAATAAAATGTGTAAAATGAAAAAGATGGGTAGCACTAACCATTGATGATAATATTTGGAGAGATTAGAACTCTCAATCAAAAACAAAGGTAATCCAAATTGGAACAACCATTGTGGCAAAATTTTAGGCAGTTTCCACTAACACTAACAACATGACTACCCTATCCTCTGCATACTCAGCAGTTAGCTTCCTAAGTAAATATCCAAGGAAAATGAGTGTATTTTCCCACCAAAAGAGAACATGTTTTTATAGCAATTTATCAAAAGAGTCAAAAACTAAAAACAACCTAAATTCTCAATATTTGTGTACAAAAATATATTTCATTCTTATTGTAGACACATTTTTTAAAACTAGAATTCCATACCTATAACATGAATGATTTCACATATATAATAGTGAAAGTAATAAACCTTCTTTCTAGCACAGTACACACTATATGGTACCATTCATGTGAAGTTCAAAATCAGACAAAAGTCATACATGGTTGTAAGGACAATGGTAGTTACGGGAGGGACAATGACCCACAATGAATGTGTGAGGGAAGCTTCTGGGATACCTGAGTCGTCCATATCTTGATTATGTGGGGTAAGTAAAAAGTTTATCAAGCTCTATGGTAAGAGGTACATGCTTTATTATATTCCCCAGGACATATTATAATATTATTATATTCCTCAGGACTGATGATATAATTTAAATGAATGTTTTTATAATAAACATTAAAAATATAAAAGTGAAATGAGATAGTCCTTAAAACATAAACATAATAAATAATGTAAATTTCACATTCTACTATATGTTATGACACATTCTACTTTGCTGTTATAACAAGTCAAGAATATTGGAGGGACTGGGATTGTGGCTCAGTGGCAGAGCGCTTATCTTGCAAGTATGAGGCACTGGGTTCCATCTTCAGCACCATATACAAATAAATAAATAAACAAAGGTATTGTGTTCGTCTACAAATATATATAATTTTATATATATGTATATATATATATATGTGTGTGTGTGTGTATGTGTGTGTGTGTGTGTGTGTGTGTGTGTGTATATATATATATATATATATATATATATATATATATATATTAAGGAATATTGGAAAGAACATGTGGAATCTGATTATTCTAAATTAAAAACACCATTCCAGTTTTCTCACAAATAAGATAAAATGGAAAAAACATGAAAGGCCTATTCTCTTTATGTTTTCACAAAGCTATTTGAATTATTTTTAACACTAGGTTGTTAAACTCGACAAGGGAATACTCTGAGGACTACTCTACAGAGCTTTAAGATGAGAACCTGTCAGTATTCAATATTAAATACTAAAAAAAAAAAAAAAAGAAAAAGGTGAAAAAAATGAAGTATGGAAAAATTGGTACATTTCTAAGATTAACTGTGTTGACATTTATTGATTTTCAATTACAGATTTAGGCTTTTAATGTTCAAAAAATCTAAGAATCTTCCTAGAATTCTAAAATTATAGCTTATGTGCTAATAGTTTATAGAACTCCTTTATCTAAATGTTTTACTAAAATTTGAAATCCAACAAAACTGAAGACTTGATCCTTTGCACCTCAGATATTCCCAGGAAGATATTTAAAATCAGAATAACTCATTCTTCTTAGGAGATAAAAAAGGTCAAGTAACATAAAATTAATTTTTAAAACTGTCTATTATAATATTATTATTTTATGTATAATAATTGCTTGATTGTTAAGGCCTTTAAATAAATATTACATGCTTTATTATATTCCTCAGCACTAATGTAATATTATTCTGTTCCTCAAAATACTATAATAATAATAGGAATTAGGCTCTACATATGTTGGCTGTCCCAATTATTTTCCATGTTGTATATTCACATATTGTATATTGGAAGGGTATATTCAAATTTCATTATAAAAATTCTAGTTTGGTCTATAAAGAGATTATAAGTATATTCTAAAAGAAAACCCAATCTACAAATTTAATTTCTAACCATTAAATATTTATGTATATTGTGAAGTAAATACATAATTTAAAGTATAATTGCATGATCAAAACTAAACTATGGAAAAATTAAAATTAAAACAATCATATCAATTTTCATTACTACTCAGTAATCTCTATAGATGAGTCTTTCTTTCCTTCAATCATAAACAGAATAACCTAAGTGAAATCTGATCGATATTTGTGTATGAATCCTAGAAAATAAATTATACATCCTCAATGTTGTTAAGTTTTTGAAAGATTTCATGGAAATATTTCTGATATTCTTCTATCAATATCTAAGTCAATCACTAATAATTTAGAAAAACAATTCTCAAACTAATTCCCATAATTAAATTTACTGGATAGTAATTTACACTAATTTCTGAACATTTAAGTTTCCTTTATTTAGGTGATACATCAAATTTACAGAAAGAATGTTTTCCATAAATGTGTGATTTTAAAAATCATTTACCCTCCAATAGATGATCACATAGAAATTAGCACAAGTGAAACATGAAAGTACTTCTAGTCACAGGAAATAAGCTGTCTATTATTAACATAAAAGAGGAAATAATGATCTGTAAATCTTTAAAAGATTTTACAACCTAACAGTCTATAATCAATCAATCTTAAAGAAATAAATGAACAGGCAAACTCCAATATCAACATTTCTTTCATGAAAGCACAGAATAGGAGCACAAGCCTTGACTATTTTAGACAGAAACAACATTCAAATGTTACCTAGAAATAAATTGGAACCTTTCAATAGCCTAGCTCTAACCATAATAAAAATGAAACACAGTACAGATGAAGAAATCAATTATGAGTGGTTGTGGGTCTTAAAGAAGTAACTACCAATACTGATCACCTTAAATCTTTAATGAAAGATTAAATTATGTTTAGTAGGCTATAGCAAAAATAAATTACTAAAAACAGCTAATAATTTCAAGTGGAATTGTACAAACAAGGAATCTAACCTCAGTTAACTTAATTAATCAGAAAACCAAAACATCACAGATGTTTTCAGTTCTCTTGCATTCATTGAAAATTATAGTATATTCTTTGGTTGGTTCAACATTTGTATGAGTATTTTTATGGAGGCATTCATCATCACAGACCATCTTTTATATACTTTAGTATTGTTCAAGTCAGTAATATATCTTCATTTTGGACAAAAAGAGTACACTTTTGTAATGAAAATATTCAGTAATCATTGGAAACAAATACTCTTTAACACTTACCTGTATTTTAATGGGCCAGGAGAAGTTGCTGACATATACATAGAATGTAATGTTAGGATTGCTTCTGAAGTTAAATTTTTCATAGGAAAAACTATCTCTGTATTCCTTTATATTAGTCTTGGAAACTATAGGAGTCTCTTCCCCAGATATTGTTCCAGCTAAAACATAAATAACAAATTTATGTAAGTCATATTAGGAAACAGGAATCTTTATTAATTTATATACATACAATACACTTAATTTTATAATTGCTCTTATAAAAAGACTATCAATATACATTCATACTTTTAATTTTGAATGACAAAGTAGACAAGTCTAAAATAAATTTAATGGGAATAGATTTAGTATCAATATTACTTTTGCTCTATATGTGTAATATGAATTGTGATGCATTCTACTGTCATACATAACAAATTTGAATTTTTAAAAAATGGTCTCCACCTTAAAAAAAATTACTTTAAAAAATGGCACATACTGAGGCAAGAGGATCAAGAGTTTAAAGTCAGCCTCAGCAACTTAGCAAGGATTTCTAAGCAACTCACTGAGATCCTGTCTCTAAATAAAATACAAAAAAGGACTGGGGATGTGGTTCAGTGGTTAAGTGCCCCTGAGTTCATAACATAAAAGAGGAAATAATGATCTGTAAATCTTTAAAAGATTTTACAACCTAACAATCTATAATCAATCAATCTTAAAGAAATAAAAAAAAATACTACCACTAATTAAATGCTATGTAGTAGACTGACTTCAAAATTTTATATTCTTTTCTAATAATAAATTGCATCCTATAAGTATAATCTTTATTTTTCAATTTGAAACCGGAACCTCAGAAAGATTAAAGCAGTAGCCCAAAATGTATTAGCTACTACCAGCAAATTCTTCTTTGGAATTCAGGCATATATGGCTCCAGAAACTGAGCATCTTCTACTAACTACTACTTCACAGAGATTTCCAAACAAATTGGACCATATTTTCACATGTCTCAATCCAATTAAAAAATGGGGAAAAAATCAATTTATTTGACTTACCACAAATTGAACATCACTAATTTAAATATATTGGGAGAAGGCCATAATTTAAAACATGAGCTAAATGCTCAATTAGTTAAACACATATTGGTCACTCAATAAGTATTCACTGAAGTTAACCAAATGTAACAAAGTGTTTCAACCAATCTTAGCAAGAGTTCCACCTTAATAAATATTAGAAGTAATTAGAATTAGTATTCTAAGTAAATAAATTAATTTTCAATTTGGTATTCCAAAATCACCTTAAAATGTATATTCTTGGATTTTTAAAATGTATATTCTTGGATTCATCTCCCACATAAGTAGTGAAAAATGAGCATGAAATTTCACAATTTAACATAGAAGTTTAAACTTTTTCCTAGTTAACACTTTTCAAAAGTCAGAATTTTCAACTGAAAGCCTTACTATGGAAGACATTTTGTGCAGTCTTTTCTTGATTTCCTCTTAGCACTAAAGCTGACAAGGAGTATATTTCTAAGCTTGAAAACAGTAGATTAGTTACTATTTTTATCAGCATACATAGAAGAATTTCATTGTTTTATGTAAATATTAAGGTTAATAACTAAACTTATAGTTTCAATTGTGAACTGAATAACTGAAATCTCAATCTCTTCAGTCATTAATCTATATTAACTAAAATCACAGCATTTTATAACATTGCCATTTAAAAATAATTAAGAACTGTATATTTTTAGCCATGTAATTTTAATTAACTAAGGGTAAAAGGTAACAAAGTAAGTTTGATTCATGTTGCTATTTATTATCTTTATCAATACTCACACAATGACTATAGTATATAATTTTTATTTGATTTAGCTAAGTGAACAGAACTTCAATATAGAAGCTTATCTGAAAGAGAAATAACACAAAAATTTTTTTACCTGTTGAGCCAACGGACCATGTAATATTGAGATTAAAGTTGTTTGATGCATTAATTGAAATATCCAAATTTTTGTTTGACTACCAAGAAAGAAAATATAAAAGTTAAAACATTTAAAGAATAGCAAGATACATATGATTTAGTCTACTAATTTATATTTGTCAATGCTATATTTTTCAAACCATATATTATGTAAATATTCAACTGAATAGGTATAGATGTCATTCATTTAAAGAATAGCAAGATACATATGATTTAGTCTACTAATTTATATTTGTCAATGCTATATTTTTCAAACCATATATTATGTAAATATTCAACTGAATAGGTATAGATGTCATTCATGATTTTTAAATGAAAAAAAGTCTGTTAAAAAATTCAGAGTAAGATTTAAAGCTCTTCATTTATCTCCTCTACTATGACTTGGACTTTTGAATAAAATGGAGATATAATGACCTCTTTCAAGAATATGTAAATCAATGGATGTGTAACTGATGTGATTCTGCAATTTGTATACGGGGTAAAAATGGGAGTTCATAACCCACTTGAATCAAAGTGTGAAATATGATATATCAAGAACTATGTAATGTTTTGAACAACCAACAATAAAAAAATTTTAAAAAAAAAGAAGGGAGCATGAAAAAAAAGGCAAGGCTCCAGCCATCATGAAGATAGGTAGGTGTCATCAATAATATTAGATATGGGGAAACAGAATGCCTTCATTTTCTTTCTCTTTTTCTTCATCTTCAGCCAGACAACCAGGGGATTAAGAAGGAGAACTTGCTCATCAATCTCTATCTAGAAAGGGTGGGATTTTTTAAACTATCAATGATATGACTCAAAAATAATCGCTATTTTTATAAAAGCAACACATGTTAGAAACAATGTGTCCCTAGGAAGCGTAAATCCTATTTTCTCTTGAAGCCCTCTTTGTAATTGTTTGTACATTATCATGGGCAGAATTAAATGTGAAAATAACTTGTTGTAAAGGTTATACACAATTTCTAATTGATAAAAAAACTACAAACCTCTTGTATTTTCAGTTCATCCTCTATAAACTCCAAGTTTAAGTATTATTGAAATAGGTATTACGGACCATGTAATATTGAGATTAAAGCTGTTTGATGCATTAATATATGCCATAACTGAAACCCTATAAAAACCACTTAGGGTTCTTTTTTTCAATGCTGTTCCAAAAGATATAATTCTATGGTTATCCCAGAAAATTATTAAATCCATCATTAAGAATGTGGGTGAGTTCAATAATGTGATTCAAAAACCTACTTAAGAAACTGCTCATATGAAAGACTGACTAGAAGTGGTCAACAGTGGGTTGAAATTAAGTCTGTTGTTAAAATGCAAGAAAATGTATAAAATAACCAAGACATCTGCTGTTTGTTACTATTTTCTTATAGGATAAGTAGGAAACCTTGATCTATAACCCAATATTAATATTAGAGATTATTCCCAGGTGAATATATCCTTAATTAAAGATGACTAACACAAAACGATGTCACAAGCACTCTTGTGACACTTCTCATGATAGTTTAGCATCAGAACATGTGTCTGGGATCTTGGATTCAATTGGCAAGATAGCAAACAGTAAAAGTGAAAGCTTGGGGCTGGGGTTGTGGCTCGGCGCTACAGTGCTCACCTAGCACATGCAAGGTCCTGGGTTCTAGTCTCATTACCACGTAAAAATAAATAAATAAAGGTATTGTGTCCAATTACAACTAAATAAATAAAGGTATTGTGTCCAACTACATATATATATATATATACACACACAAACACACATATACACATACATGCATAAATATATATATATATATATATATATATATATATATATATATATTTTTTAAGTGAAAGCTGGGACATCTGAAAGCACTAGGGATGGTAAAGGAACACACTGAAACTGTAGCAATCTGATCATGCATGTATGACATCATGGGTGATATTGGGAGGAATATTACTATTGAGTCAAATATCTCACTGGATTTAAATTTCTTAGATACTCAAAACACCCCACATATTTGCAATTACTATTAACAATCAAGAAATGGTAAAGAATGAAACTCTGATTCTGTTATAGCATGTTTGAATCCTAACAGCACTACAGTAAGTAAAATAAGCCAGATACAAGGGGTCAAATACAGCATGATTATCTCATTATGAAATACCTAGGACAAGAAAAGTCAGAGACAGAAAGTACAATAAAGGTACTAGGAGCTGGGGGAGGGAGAATGCAGAATTATTTCACAATAGACACAGACTTTGTATTAGAGACAAATGAGAAGATTCTAGAAATGGATAGTGGCAATGACTGTACATTATAACTATATTTCTTTTTTTTTTTAGTCATTGATGGACCTTTATTTATTTTATTTTATATGCAGTGCTGAGAATCAAACCCAGTGCCTCACATATGCTAGCCAAGTGCTCTACCAGTGAGCCACAACCCTAGCCCCATTATGATTATATATATACATATATATTTTTTTAATATTTTCTTTTTTAGTTGTAGTTGGACACAATACCTTTATTTTATTTATTTTTATGTGGTGCTGAGGATCGGACCTAGGGCCTCAAATATGCTAGATGAGCCCTCTACCGCTGAGCCACATCCCTGGACCTATAATTATATTTAATGCTACAAAACTGCATACCTACAAAGTGAGTGGTTAAAATGGTAAATTAATTTATATATTTACCACAATAAAAAGCAGCCAATGGATTAAAATGGACTTCTAAATACCTACACAATGATAATATACTTGCTGACATTATTAACGTATTTTAATAGAAACACATAGTGCAGACAGGATTGTATTTGAAATAAAATATCTTTAAAATATCTATAAAAACCATTTAAACGTCAAAACCTTAAATGTATTTCCAAGAATTCCTTAAAGCTAGGGAATAGCTAGGTGCGGTGGCTCACACTTGTAATCCCAGCAAGTCAGGAGTGTAAGACCAGAAGATCACCAAGTTCAAGGCCAGCCTCAGAAACTTGGTAAGACCCTAAGCAACTTAGTGAGACCCTGTCTCAAAATAAAAATAAAATGGTCTGGGATAAAGCTCAGTGGTAAAGTCCCTCTAGGTTTAATCACTAGTACCAAAAAACAACAACAAAACCCTAGGAAATAAGGAGTAACAGAATAAACCTTTTATTGTGGGAAGGCAAGATCCTATTTAACTAGAAAAGGAAACTTTAAGAAATTATATAATTTATCAGTAATTCTAATGACATTTTTTACTGTTTTCATTTCAAATTTATTGTTAGCTGGGTTTATTACATGAATAAGATATTTTTAAACTACATATGTATTTGCTTACATGTATGATTCAAAGACATAACCTCTAAAATATCATGATAAAAGACTATATATATATATATATAGAGAGAGAGAGAGAGAGAGAGATATAGATATAGATATAGACATTTTGATATTGGTGTTTGCCCAGTGCCTAGAGAAAAATACGTATTTGCCTTATTAAAGGCACTAATCTGAAGGAGGACTTAGTACTTACTAAAGAGAAAAGTTATACAGCACAGGTTCATCTTTATGCATGTTTTAAAGATGGTTTGGTCATTTGTTAGAGTACATTCTTTGCTATTATAAACATCTGACACAACCACTTTATTAAGCTTATTTTGGCTCATATTTTGGAGTTTCCAGTTGGTCCAACCACTTTGGGACAGTGGTAAGGCAGACAGGTTTTAAAGAAAAGGAGCTCAAAATTTTCAGAATATATTTAGATGTTTCACCTCTTGAATACTAATACATAAATATGGATTAATATATAAATAGAAATGTATATGTATAATGTACTCATTTTTAAATTAGTTATTTTTGTTTCCAAAAATTAAAATTCCACAGAAATAAGCTATATGGTTGATATTTCTATTCCTTAGGCTTTTTAACTTATAAAATCTCAAATGGATATTAATATATGTGTTATTTCATGACAAACTTAAACCCTTTCCTTAAACTGATACGTTTATATTAAAATTTATAATTAAATTTTCATACATTTAAACTTCCTAAGGTTGTAATGTTATATCACTGACGAAGTGAGCACTGTACAGCTCAGCAAAACCAGTGGATTTAGAAAAATGACAATGAAAATCTACTACTATAGAATGGTGTAAGGGGAAAAAATATGTTTTAAAAGCATGCTTTGATTTGTAGCTTTCAAATTTGTAGTCTCTTTCAAAAGAGACGACTCTGATATTGACTGCATATTTATGATCATAAATTGTTATAAAAGTAAACATACAAATAATACATAACTTAAAAATAGGAACATTTGCAATAATATGAAATACAAATTTTCTGAACTAAAAAGACACTTAAATTGTATGAAAAGAAAAAATTCATAGGATTAGTTTTTTCTATAATATCCCTAAAATTTGACACTTTTGAGAATGAGGAAAGTCACAATTAAAAATAGAAAAGCTGTATCACTTAATCCCAGTATAATTATAAAGACACCATTTCCTCACCTGTTCTGGGTTTGCTATGAAGTTTATGGCGGTATGGTGGCGATCATCTTCCTGTAACAAGCTGAAGGTGAACTGATAGTCAATCAAAAGGCTGTCTGCAGGGGAAAAAAATAGAGTACTCAATATGCACTTTTAAAAATCTGTAAAACTAAAGTTAATGGAAAATATATTATACACTATATTTAAAAATTATCCTCATTAAATACAAGAAGCCTATTGAAGACTAGCAAAATAATTATTACCTTTAATAGTTTCAAAATGATTACTGATGAACACATAAGATTAAAGAAATTCACAGAAAAGACATTTTTAAATCTTTATCTCTAGCAATAAACATCAAAACATACAGTTCATCCTAATTCCTCCAAAATCTATTTGTACAATTAATGTTTATAATTATAAAAAAACAGAACAACCATAATAATTATATTTTTTAATTCTTTTTTGTGATTACAAAAGTACTTTGCAAATACCAGACATTCTAGAAACTGTATAAAAGTAATAAAATAAAATAAAAGCCATCCATAATCTTATACTAAAGAGAAATGAAATTAACCTTTTGGTGCATTTTATTTCAGCTAAAATTCTATAGACATAAAGATAGAACTTTTGTTATCCTACTTTCCTAAAATTTTAATTCATTGAAAACATGAACTCTAATAATTATATTTCATTATATACACTAATTCATTTACTTGTTCATCTTGTGATAATTATTAGCTTTAACAATTTTAAAATGATTATGTGATGAGTACTAAGATTAAAGCAACTCACAGGAAAGATATTTTTAAATTTTGTCCATACATCATGCTAAAACCAAGAAGAAGAATTGAAATGTTATAGGATCTGCAAAATTTCATGTGCCACACAAGGTGGAGTCCTACTCATAATGTTAAACTGCCAGCATTGTAATAAGTGCTTTAAATTATTTAAATTATTTTATTTTTATTTTAAGTAATGTTTCCTCGAACTCCAGTCATTGTCTAATCAAATTCTTGACCACATATTCAAGTGTGATTTTGTCCCGGACAAAAGGACAGTCAGTGTAGGTAATGAATGACTGAGTCAGGAAGATGCAGGCTGACTTGAAGGAAATAAAATGCTAGTACCTCCAGAGTACATCCCCTTCCTCCAACCTATTGCCAAGGTTACCTGTTCATCATAACCAGGAGTTATTAATATGTATCCCTGGGTGGCTTCATTCCTACCCTTGGATCACTTCACCTTTAGGTCGTGTAGGCAGGATGGGAGAAGGGGGCATGAGAAAGTAAAATCTAAAATCTATAAAAGGGGCAGGACAACACTCTCACTCCCTTGGGCACCAGCTTTGGAACCCCTCCTCTGTAGAGAACTCTTGTGTTTCTGTCTGTCTCACTATCTCTCCGGAGGACTGCTTCCCACCCTGCACCAGCCCTCTGTTCTATCCCTTAAATAAAACCTTTTGCTCTTGCTCCAGTGTTTCTCGGGTGTTGAATCTTCAGCACCAGGGGATTTGGGACCCGGATCTTGATTTATTTTCAACACTGGTATCATCTCTGGTTTCAAATGGGCGCTCATCCAGGATCATGACCAAGGTAAGCTCCTTTGCATTCACCCCACATTTTTCTGAGTTGTGTCTTTCTGTCTCTTTCTTTCTTTCTGGAGGACAATAATGTGCACTGCTTGGCTAATTAAATGCAGTTAGTACAAGCCTCAATTCTTCAAGACTCAGGTTACAGGTATCATGGCATAGGTGGCTTCTAAATCACCTATCCTGTAATTCAGGCATGTTGGATTTTGCCAAATGTTTCTCACTATCTTATCCAGGCTCAGAGTGCATTTGGCCTGAGTATACAGTGTCTCTAATCCTAATGTGCCTTTGTATGCATGGAGATGGACAAAGGGTTGGGACAACTGTAAGGATCTGGCCGAGACCACTCCCTGGTGAACCTCAAAGATTTCTCCCCCAACTCCCTCTCTCTGCCACCCTTATGGGATATCTGTGGTGACTAAAGCAGCACTGATTAAAAGCCCCAAAACACATGTACCTCCAAATGAGCCATACTGCACTCCCCCACAATCACTCCTCCCCAAGCACCCCTCTCCTCTCACTGATCAGACTCTAGCTGCTCAGACTCTAGGGTTGTGATAGGGACAAGAACTGGTTCATAAGGAAATGCCTGCATTCACTTTGTTCGAATATTAAGCCTTTACAAGCCTGTAGGGATTCCCATTGTTGTTTCTGTGCTCCTGTGTGATCTAGGAGCATCTTTGGCTGCAAAAAGGAGACATATTCAATTCACCCCTTAAGTAAACTCCTCTAAGAAAAGAGTATTAAGCATATAACAACCACTAGATGTTCTCCATACCCTCTGGGGATTCTTTTATCCCACAAGCCCGAGAAATGCACCCCATTATAGGCTTTTTTTCCATGGGTTATTACATTGGAAGTTTATAGTGGCAGGAGAGTTCAGTCATGCCTCTGAGTCTGAATTTCCAAGGGTCTTTGGCATGGGGCAAATGAAGCCCTTGATATTCTGCCAAGGAGCCAGCAATAGAGTTAGCAGAACCAGGTGGTGAAAGACAGGTTTGCTGGACTGTCAGAAGCTCATAGGGAGATGTCCCTAGTGAAATGGGCAGTTTTCTCTGGCATGGTCACCTGAGTTCTGTTTTCTCATACTCAGATGGGAGCTTCATTCTCAGCCATTATGCCAGGTTCACCAATAGCCTGCATAGTGAAAAAAATGGGATTTTTACTTTGTTCAGAGGGGAACCTTCTCCTCAAAAAGGAGAGGTGGAAACTGCTAGCCAATACAGGCTCTCGGAGCTAGATGCACAAAAAGTGTCTCATTTTCTTCTGCTGCCAGGCCAGTGAAATGACATAATCACAGTTGGAAAAAGTATATCTCATAATTTTGTGCATCCAACCTAGCCTGATTACAAACTGGAGGGATGAAAACAAGTCTCTGGAGGATAAAATATAAGACCAATCCTTAAGAGACTGATTTTACAAAAGAAAAAAAATGGTTAAAATGCCCTATGCATAAAGTTTTGCCTCTCAAGCTTAAAAGAACAGTTTCCCTTACTTCTTAGCTTCTGCCAGATCTCTATCATCAACAAGGCTTACATTTGAAATGTAAATTACAGAGCATACAGAGCTTTCAAGACTTTCAGGGCTTGCAGAGAACTGGCTTGAGACCAAAGCAAGGTCTTGCACTCTACCACCCTGCTTTCTTAATAAGTTCCTCCCTATAAACACTGCAGCACAGGGAGGAAAAATGGAATGACCTCATGTATACAAGTCTTTTGATAATCCTTACCTGAGGACTTCAGGACCCTCACATTCTTTGAATATCTGAACTGACTCTAATCTGAGCCAAAAAAAGTGAACTCTGATCTGATAAAGATGTACTATATGTTCCTTTATTAATTACAGCCATGTCATTTTCTTAGAACATCTGTTTTTTTTTTAATTCTATATTTTTGAGATCATGGTTTTATGGTGAATTCATACTTGATCCTGCACACCCCAGTTAATATATTTTTATTAGTCTTATTTTATCTAACTAGAGGTTTTTATACTCTGTTTTTGTCCAGAGGCCAATTTTAAGGGTTACCTCTCAAACACATTAGAAAATACTACAGGGACACAGCCACATCAATGTTTATAGCAGCAGCACAATTCACAATAGCTAAACTGTGGAGCCAACCTAGATGCCCTTCAATGGATGAATGGATAAAAAAAATGTGGCATATATATACACAATGGAATTTTACTCAGCAATAAAAGAAAATAAAATCATGGCATTCACAGGTAAATGGATGGCACTGGAGATGATAGATGCTAAGTTAAGTTAGCCAATCCCCCAAAAAACAAATGCTGAATGTTTTCTCTGATATAAGGAGGCTGACTCATAGGGAGGTAGGGAGAGGGAACGTAGGATGAATAAATGAATTCTAGATAGGGAAGAGGGGAGAAAGGGAGAGGGAGGAGACAGGGGATTAGCAAGAATGGTGGAATGTGATGGACATCATTATCTAAAGTATACGTATGAAGACACTAATTGGGTGTCAACCTACTTTATATACAAATAGAGATATGAAAAATTGTGGTATATATGTGTAATAAGAATTGTAATGCAAAAAAAAACAAGTACATGTATAAAGACATGAATTGGCATGAACATACTTTATACAAAGATATGAAAAGATGTGCTCTACATGTGTAATAAGAATTGTAATACATTCCACTGTCATGTATTTTTAAAAAATAAAATCAATTAAAAAAAAGAAAAAAGAAATTCTCCTTCACAAAATCCTAAGAAGGACATATACATAGTAATGTTGGGAATAAATCTGATATCCATCGAAGACAAGTGGCCATCTGATTTCATTGTCCACTATTGCTGCCAGACCTTACACTTGGCATTTCCAACTCTACATCATAGGGAGACTATATTTAAGACTATATTTAAGTCATAATGTGAAAATTCTAATAAGCATTATTTTAATTTCTAACAAGTTATCTAATAGAGGCCTTTTAAAAAAAATTTTTTTAGTTGTTGATAGACACATTATTTTTATTTATTTATTTTTATGTGGTGCTGAGGATCGAACCCAGTACCTCACACGTGTGAGGTAGGCGCTCCACCACTGAGCTACAGCCCCAGCTTCTAATAGAACCTTTAATAAACATCTGTAGCATTGCTTCCTACCAGTGGAGATCTACCAACAAAAAGCTACAATATCTTTTTCCCTCTCTGTTTTATGTATGTGTGGACAGCTGTGTATTGTACTACTGTATCTACATATGTGTTTGTGTCCATATATCATTTACATAGTATCAAAATTGGTGTATGAACACTCATAAATCAAATTTTTTAAAAAAATGGATCCAAATATTTTTTAGTTCATGTGACTTAAAAAAAGGTTCAATTTAAATTAGGTAAACATATGAGAGTAAAGATGTGAGTTCTTCTAGGTAGTCATAAAATTAACAGCATATTGGTTTCTACAAAATTTATAGAATGCAATATCTATTGCTTCTAGGATTTGTCTTCAACAAGGAAGAGATAGCTAGTACTGTGAACTACAATTGCCTAATATCTTCTTGGTT